TTTTGCAGGCGCCTCCAATGACAGCTGAAGTGAACTCCTTTATCGAGATGTCAGTATCATTTAATAATAAATATCTTGCTCTTTTTACTGATTCCGGTTTATTTTGGATTGGATCAGCTGATCTGCAGGTAAATCATGCAAACTACCTTTTTTTCTTTTTCATACTTGAGGAATAATACAGTGCCCTCTAGTGTTGGTAATTTGATGACTTTGTTTTTAGTGGAAGTGTATTACTTAAGCCTCTTATTCCAAATATAATTAAAATTAAAAAAAGAATACAGTGTTATTAATCACTTCATCATAATATAGTACATTACTTCATTAATTTTGTGTGCTAGAAACAGTTTCTCTGGTTTTATTTTATTTTTACTTTCTAATAAATGTAGTTTTATTTTTGAGTTTTGATGATCATCTTAACATTTTTCTCGTTTATAAAGACACTTTATTTCATTTTTCTTTATTTCCAATCGATATAGGAGGATATTGATTGAAAATTTAGGGCATTATTTGATCATGACTTCCAAATTCAGAAACCTTTATTTTACCGTGTCTTGGTGTACAAAAATGTTTGAAAGGAAGGAAGGAAGGAAAGGAAGCCTTAACCAGAACCTCAGGATTACTTCTATAAATTTCCGACAGTCCTGCAGCATGTCAGAAATTTTTAGAAATCAGAATCAGAAATAACTCAGAAGTCTGTTTTGACAAGATGAATGCTCCTCAAGTGAACAGGAAACTTCTATACGACCTTTGGGTATCAAGTATTTCAGTTGAACTTCATCGTCTGAATCGCACAGTTTGTTGGTGTTGACTTATTGCCGACTCCACCAACCCATGCGGGACCAGCTTATGTTAAACAAATGGCCAAGTTTGATTGGATGCGCCTGTTGAAAAGGTGCCCAATCAGTCGCTGTGTAACATTGCGTGGTAGGCTAAGGAACAAAATGTCGGAAATTACGACGTGTAGCACGGTTACTTCAAAATTCTTCATTAACTCAGTGATATTTTGATATTTTACATACTGAAGCTATACTGAAATGTACATTACTCTACCCGCCTCCCGTCATTTCATCTTCCACAGCTTCAGTCAGTGAAGCGGCCTGGTTAAATAAAAGTTAAGTTTCTGAACTGCTGGTCATTAACAAATAATGCGCACAAATTTCAATCCATATCTTCTTAAGAATTAGGTTTAAGTAATTAATGTAAATTCTGTCATGTGGTGAGCGATTTGTTGGCATACCATACATAGAACATAGCTCATTCTTGCCTTTATTTGGTTTCATATTCGCATATACATGTATGCCAACAAAAAATTTCCGAGCACTCCTATGTTGAGTTATCATCTATTCCTATTTAGCCAATAATTTTTGTTCATTTGCCATTCTTTCTAGAAAGTCTACTGTGAATTCAACACTAAAAGTCCTTCCAAACCACAGCAGTTAGTCTGGTGTGGTACCGGTGCTATTGTTGCTTATTGGGAAAACCTTTTATTAATGGTTGGTCCTGATAAAGATTGGGTCAAGTACAACATGGACAGTACTGTGCATTTAGTGCCTGAATTGGATGGACTCCGAATAGTTGGAAGATACACACATGATTTCCTGCAGAGGGTTCCTAGTAAGTGCTTGCTATACTTATCAACTTGATAAACTCTAAAATCAGCACTTCTAGAAATATATCTTTGATTTGATTCTTTTAGTACATACATAAATGCTACTATAAAATCTGTATTAGAAGCCGTGGCTTCTATTAAAATGGTACAATACAACAGAAGGGATGTGGCTTCTATCTACACATATGAGAAACAATGAATTTATGGTTCCCAAATGTTTAAAAAGAATGGGTGTGATTAATTTTGGGGATGCGGCTTCTAATACAGATTTTACGGTAATCATAAAAACTACTCTATCTTGAGAATCAAATAAAAAAATTCACTCTTCCTGATTTATGAATTTGAAGTGTTTGGCAAGAGTGGAAAATGTAAAATTTATTTGATAGTTTTCCCCTCATTTTGTTTGGCTCAAATTACTGTAAATACTTAGATTCCACTCTAATTTAGGCATCTGGGAAAAGTCAAATGCCCTAATTTGGTACTGAAATTAGCATCACAGACTGTTAAAATTAACAAAAACTACTCAGTATTTGAATGTAATATGCATTGGTTTTAATATAGTTGGTGAAGAAAAGTGGAGTCTAGATGAATTTTCAAATAAACACGAGCATTGCTTAGTAGCAAATGATTACCATAGAGTAATCCAATCATGCTGTGTTTTTACAAGTGAATAACTTACTTGTTCTCAAGGAGATCATG